CTCTAACACAATCATGGCAATGTGTTTAATTTCCCTTTCATGACCACTGTATATCCAAGGAGGGGCTTCTGCTCTACCCTTCTCCTGAGCTTCCCCTTTCTGCACAAGTGAGCCACTGTGAAGTCCTGCCACCAACAGCCGATGTCCCAGAGAGCTTCCCTGCTGCAGAAGAGAAAGTCCTGGCTGGGTCTCTGAAGCACAGGTATTAAGAGGAGCCAGGGCATGGGATGGATTTCAATGGACCTGTGGTTGTGACTGAACAGCAGAGATATAGAGAGGAATAGGGATGCAAATACAAGTGTTGGTCTGGCTTTCAAGGATGTAGGCAGCTAGAGCTACCGAGGTACAGCTCCGTTTCATGAGAGCAGCAGCACTAAGCTCTGATTCCCTTGAGATTCTGTCATCCCTTTGTCTCATGGTCATGGTCCTACCCAGTTGTGTGGGAGCATATGCCAGCCTGATCAACAGGAGGATCCATAGATAGGAGGATCAATAGGGACTTCTACTGGCACTCTGCCAGATGCTTAATACAACATCCATTGTTTCACTCAAGCTCAAAAGAGCCTTAATAAGCAAATCCTTCCTTTTTCTTTTTTTTTTTGGTGGGGGGGGGAGCTGGTGGGAGATGGATTTGCTTGGGATTTTTTTCAGGGAAGGGTGTTCAGTTTTCAAAGGGAAAATTATTTGACTGAATAGATAAAAACAAGTAGTTTACATTTTGTGGAGGAGGAAAGTAGCCCAGCAAAAGGTCTGAGAACGCCGGTTTTGAGCTTCCTCCTCAAAAAAATTTGGCCTCTGGTGCCTGAAAAGCCTATGCAGTGTTCTCATGCTCCATAGATGATGTTCAAACTGCCACCTTTGGAAAGCAATATTCCCCCTCCTGTTCTCATTAACTGGTGCTAATAAAATTTCCACTTTTCTCAGTGTTTCAGAGATTTTTTCAGAAGAACCCTAACACAGCAAAAGAGCCTTCCTTCTCAGCACAGGGAAAGAGAAGAGCCCCTTGCAAGGCTTTGCACAATCCAGACATTAAATCCTGGCCACAATTCTGAGGCATGGCAACACACTATTATAAACTGCATGAAACTTGCTGCTGCAGTGCATTGGGACAGAGGATGAAATATTATAGGTGATGGATTTGCCAACAGCGTACTAAAAACTGGGAGGAGTGTTGCAGGATTTAATACATGGAAGACATTAGATATTTCAAAGTTGTTAGTGTTTGCAGTTTTTAAAAATGATTATGCTTGATGTGTGCAGCCGCTAAATCTTTCTTGTTGATAATCAGAGCTGATTTATATCTTTTCAAAAATTGATCTCAAACTATACAAGATCTAATTGCTCCCAGGAGAAATTAAATAGCTCAGGCATATGAATTTAGATGAAGTTCACCCCCTGACCTCTTCTTCATATCTCCAGTTCATACCTGTCCAGTTCATTTCGCCAGAAAAGCTGTTTAATCCTTCCTATTCCTCCCTCTTCTCCAAGCAACCCCACACACTGAATTGTGAACTCATAATTGTAGAACATAAACACAAATCTCAAACTTTCATCTCTCAAGAAAATGGGAAATTTTTATGACAGTGGGTAGGCTGCTATAACAATGATGGACTGGACAACTTAGGGGACTTGGGTATATGGAGGGTCTCACTGCAGTTAAAGTCAAACCAAAGGCAGAGACTACCTCCCCAGTAAACCTTGCATGGGCAGAAGTCCCTACTAACTAAATAGATTTATTTTTAACTAAATAGTTTCAATTACCCTGTATTTTTCTTGTTTTGTTTTATTATTAAGGTGTTCTTCTGCATGGCAACTTAGAGATTCAAATGCATAGAGGACTCCCCACATTATAAAACCTTTATGAATAATGGTGAACGATATCATCAGTACTGATCCTGTGATTCATTTGTTTGCTCTACTCGAATTTAGGAGCCTCTTTTCCCCGGCCTTAAATAAACTTTTTAAAGTCTGTAAGAAATATGGTAGAACTTAGAACTATTTGAACTTTGAAGTCAGTGAAATACCTGTACTAAGGGAAAATGGCCCTCTCAGTGTCATTTCATTCCCTATACTACATATTAGGTATGAAATTGCCATCTTGAAGCTAATCATTGAATTCCAAGAGCGTTCAAATTTGGGTTCATAATGCAGGCTGGGAAGATAAGCTTGTAAAATACATATCAAGGTTTGGATTTCAAACCAACTCAAGATATGCAGGTGTTCACATTATGATATACTTATCGTTTATCCTTCCTTACATTTTGGAGTAGCTGAAGTTGTCATCCTGTACATCTTGCACCTGTTCACATCAGATCACTCTATCTGTTTAGCAAGATCATTTTTCTGAAGTGGTAAATTTTTTTATTTCAGGTCTTAACCTTCAAGATCATGAGTGGTTCTTTGCCATACATACCTATTTGGTTTATTGACTTATTGTCTTCATATACTCCATACTGGTACAGACTGGGAAGAGCTAAAGAGCATTAGTGGGTGTAAATACATGCAGGGTGACTTAAATCAGTTATAAATCAGAAAGGATGAAAGCATCTTACTGACACAATCTTGCATCAGATGTCATATGACAGAAACGGATTAGAGATTCAGCTCCTGGAAAAGCCCTAGCCAAAATAATTTTTCAGTAATAATCTCAATGAAACAATAGAAGACAAAGATGCAGAGGGAGAGGTTGTAGAACCCTCTTTGTGGAGTCTTGAACAACTGTTCAATTTCTGTGACAATCCTAAACCATTACGTAGCAAACCGAGAAAATGTAGGTTGAGATTGTATATTAGTAGTTTATTTTACCCTTAGACCTCTGATTTCCTGGCTGTTATTTGGAAGATTCTCAAGCTTCTGATTGTCTTGAAAGAGGATTTTTTAGAGGAGTTGGCTGTAATATTCTTATTTGAATTTTTTTCCTGCTAAAATGGTCTTTTTCCAAAACTGGCACTTTCCAAAGAGAGCTTTTACTTTTTGAAATGATGACCCGTTAGAATATCGGGCTTTTTTTATTTGTTTCTTTTATTTTAATCCTTTCTTGTCACACAGTCTATAGACTAGCTTGTGTTATTTTTCATGGTGTTTTCTTTTTTTTCCTCATTTTGTCATCCTTTGTCTTCTTTCAGCTCCTTTTAATTTTGAGGTTTTGAAGAATGGCAGAAAGGAATTGAAAAACGTCCCAAATTAATCCTGAATCTTATAAGTATCCTGCATAAGGGGTTAAAGGAAAGGAAGAAGAGATGGGATAATATGAAAAAAGACTTTCTCATGAAAATAAAAGGAAACAAACAGATCCAAACTGATAGTGTCACTATCTCACTGCATAGAAACAAGGCCAAATTTTTGGTTTTCACTTTTTTAATATTTTTTTCCTTACTCCTTTTCCTGTTTCCCACTAAGATGCTATACAGGGATAAATTTTCCTGTACTCTCTTCTCTCCCCATTGTGCTGTGGATTTTACAGAGCTTAATTGTTTCACATGACGTGTATTCATGCATGAACTTTCTCGTGGACTCATATGGCATAATAAAAAAATGTTTTATTAAGAATAAAAATATATTTTTCCAGAAAGAAAGCAGTAATGGAACCTGAGGCTTCCAAAGGTATTGTTATAATGAATAAAAATAATTTCTCTCTGCAGTGCAGGATGTATGTGTTTTGAACTGCCTTAATCAGACTTTCATTTGTCCTTTATCCAGCAACATCTCAAGTCAAACCTCAACTTTTTCCTTCTTTCAGAAACTCTTTACTTCTTGAATTTCCTTCTCAGTCTTGTGAAAGGTTCCAGGGGGTAGGATTCTCCTCTGTTGCATAGGATCTTGCATCCAGTATTTCTCATAGGTAGTAGAGGTTAGCTGTTTTCACCAATAATTTTCAACGGCAGTGATTTCACCAATACTTTTTTAAACGGTGAGATGGGTGTATTTGTGGAGGTACAGAGAAGAGCTTTGTTTGCTGGGGAGGTCAAGTAATTTGGCAAAGGTTATGTGTCAGGATGATGGGACAGAATGTAATGTTACCCAACATGGCAGGGTGCCCTTGTCATCCCTGCCAAGGAGCTGGTTACCTGAGCAGGGTAGGGGCTGTGTAATTGGCAGTCCCCACCTCATTCGGTGCCTAACTAGTTTCCCTTTGCTTAATGTCACAGTTAGCAATTTGCACCTTCTCTCTGCAATACTTCTGTGTATTCAGGTGTTTGTTGAGGGAAACCCTGCTCTTGATATACCAGCTTATTTCCTCCTCATCCCCATTTGCCCTATCACATCTGAAAACAGCCTTCTCTTTGCCAGACAAGCAGGCAGAGTATCTTTCTCAGTAGTGTCCTCTGACCAACGCCTGTTTTTTTTAATGTATTACAGAGAGGCTCAGAAACAATGTACCACTCTAGCAGCCAAATGGCATCTGGCAAGATATGCAGTTTGGATTCCCAGTTGGTCATTTATGGTCAGAGTTTTGATGGATTTCACAAGGAGTATGAAGGATTGATCATTTCATTCATACTGAAGGTTCTCAGCAATTTCAGGCAGGTCAAGTAACCCCTAAACCCACGGGGGAAGTGGTAAAGGTTTCATGTCAAACCAAAAGAGGAAGTTAATTGTGGTGCAGAGTCCATATTGACATAAGGCCATATGGACTGTGTTGTATTTGTGCTGCAGGACACATGAATAGGAGAGATCGTGCCTCCTAGTTCAGAGTCTGATCCTGAAGATGTGAACTGATCTAAAGAGAAATTGCACTCTTGAAATATATTCATCTTATAATATATTCCTCTGTTAGTAAAAGCATTCAGAATTTAATTAAATAAGGGGAGCCCCAAGGTGTGAATGGCAGAGATGTATTGACAGCACAAATACAAAAAATCCAGATCACAGACCTGAGGTACTGTGTCACAGAGAAGTCTCTGCTGTACACTCTCGGGTTTTGTTCCCCTGCTAAAGTAGCCCAAACAGAAGGGCGTGTGCAATACATTGATAGCATGGCTGTGCCACAAGGATTGGCACTGGAGGTAGTCTTTTTATTTTTTTTTTTGGTCACCAGTGGAAAGTTTGTCATAAAGGAGACTAGAAAATAAAAGTTCTCTCTGTAGCAGTACTACAGCAATCTACTCTCAAGCAAACTCATTTTCTACATTTTCTTCAACTACAAGCTGACATCTTTAACACGTTGTTGGCACTTCATGTCCAAGTCAGTGGGTTGGGCAGGGTGCCAGTTAACAAACAAGGCTAGAGCAAAACACAGCTCAGAACAGTACTGGGGTGGGTGTCTCATGACTGAGCACAGGACCGTCATGAGAGCTCAGGGAGGTTGGGAAAGGTGAGGAAATGCTGATTTCCCATTGTCCAGGTTCAAGTAGCTGGAAAACTGTGCTTCCAAAATTTCCGCACCACAAGCAACTTATACCTAGAATAGAAATGGAAAATCAGTTACATGAAACACCTCATATGTCTGAATCGGTCCAAATTCTTCTTCTGTTCTGTTCTGTAGCCAGTAGGCAGGACTTGAGTAGGCAAGGGCTTGAGTAGGTAGGAAGTTCCTCATTCTCTACAGAATACTTGCCTTTAGTCAGTAACACTCAGTCAATCTAGTAAATCACCTCCCTAGAAAGATTTTGGGTACCACACATGATCTGAAGATTCAGAACGGAACAGTTTCTTATCTCTTCCTCATGCATAAGATGGCACAGACATGAAGCAGTTGCATTTCTAGGAACCAGCTTACCACTATGATTCAAAAGGTTTTCAGAGATTTTGCTTTTAATTTCATCTTCCTGCAAGATGGCAGCATGAACTCCACTTACAAGCTATTGTAACAATCCCAACCAGCCACCCACCCATCTAGAAGCAATGGCGGAGACAGCAAGCAGTCCTTTCCCTGCCAGAGAAAGCCTTGTAAGAGACACAAACAGAGGTGTGAGTACAACTAGGCTTAATACAACCTCAGATTCTTGGTTTTTTAGCTGCATTCACTGCTGCCATGGGCATATATTCACTGTTGTACTCATGGGAGTTGGAGTCACACTTTTGAATCTGCCAAGAGAGGGAAAATACCATGAATTAATTTGTGGTCACTAACCTTTGCCACTCCTGCCTTTGTTCTTTAAGTAGGGCAGTAACTCTGTCTGTTTTCAGTGGGAATAATAAAGTCAGAATTGACAGGCACTCACAAAGAAAACTTGCAATAAAACAAACTGAAAATTAAAAACACACATTGCCCAAAAGAATAGCTAATGTCCATGGTCTTCCTTCTTTCCAAATGGTTCTTTGTTTAAGTGGTTTTGCACCAGAACAGTGCTGAAATTGCTCCACTGATGATTTGTTTCCCCTTCTTGAAGAAAACAATCAGGTGAATTTCTTACCAAAGTAATTTTGCTGACCCATGCAGCATTTCTCCTCTTTCCTTTGGTTCCCAGACTTTAAATCGATAAACAATTCTGTCTTCAAAAAATTACATTTGAGCTGCTGCCATCAGTGACTGAATTCCAGTGGTAAATTAACACCTCAGTCTTCTTGTCAAAAAACACATCACGTGCTCAGTGAGTATGTGCCCGTCCCACCCTTTAAATCTCATTAAATCAAGTTCCCCGTCCATGACCCTTGGAAAAATGGTTATGCATAATCTCGTACATCTGCTTACCTTGCTCCTTAAGCAACAGACTACAACACAGCAGACACAGGAAATCAGGGAAACCATGATGAGGCCAATAATTATCCATGACTCCTGTCCCAGTAAAAAGCAGTCTTCCTTATCTAGAGATGGGGAGGCAAAAAAAAGTCATTACTGACAATTTGCATTTTTGCCTCCTACAGATAACTTCAAATTATTTTCACTCTTCTCTTCATATTAAAAAATTAGCAAAAATGAGCTCTGGTGAAGGATTTTCCTGAGCTGAATCACTGCCTTGGAAAAGTGTATTCGGTAGGAAGCAAAATATCGCAGTTTTCCAGAAGGAGAGGTGAAACTGTTGGTACACAGTGCTCAAAGTGTAGACTGAATAGAAACCAAGCCAGGCTTGAGAGCACGATGGTATTTCAGATCTGAGCAAGGCTTCAGCTTGCATTCAGTGAGTACCACAGGTGATCTAAAGGGCAGCCTGATCAAAAGAAGGGTAGACTTTTGCAGTCATGTTTGGACAGGAAGGCAAGCTGAGGTACACGAGATCACTCTTGCCCAGATCTGGGAGAAAATATGATAGGGCATGGAAACCCTTGGAAAAAACTATGAACATCTGGCTATCCATGCAAATGGAAATGGACACTGTAGACAAAATCAAATGTCACAGCTTTACTCAGAGAATCTTCTTTAAATTCGGAGAGGGCTGAGAGATAATTTGACCCAACCACATAATTGTAGCCTCAGCATTTCAGCTTCTATCTTTGTTTATCCTTAACATTTACACTCAGCAGCTTGAAAATGGACAAGGGAAATTTCTGCTGCAGGCAAAGGTGGGACTGCAATCTTCCAAAAGCTGTAGTCTAGCTAACTTGGGTGCCACCAACAGTATGCAAAGCTCAGCATGGCCTGAAAAACCTGCCCAGGAAGATGAATAAATACAGAGAAGGCATGCTGATCAGCCTGCCAATACAGCTCCACTGCTACCACCCCCCTGCTAAGCAGTTTTAGGCTGTCCTGTAAATAGCTGTGCAAACTCCAGTCATATTTTTCACTGCAGCATAGCTATGCCTAATGTCTACTTATCAGTAAACTGAAGTGAGGGGAGAAGTAAACTTACCTTTGATGTACAAATAGATTTCTTTCAGGCGGCACTCTATATAAGGAGGGGGGAAGAATACCTCCAGACAGTAGGTATAAATGTCAATATGCTTTCTTTCCAGATTTTTAAGAATGAAAGTGGTGCTGGTATTTGAATTCTTTGTCTCACAGTAGGTGACATTACTCTTGGGTAAAACTTTCTCTTGATTCAAATGGAGTGAACAGATTTCCTTTTTTTCTTTCCCTTTGAAGAGGGTCATGCTGAACTCGCTCACATTTTGGGGGTTGGGAAATGTGAAGTTGAAGTTTCCATTTTCAAATTCTACCATCACCTGGGGGTCAAGGATGTGGAGCTGATCTGAAGATATGAAAACAATAAGTATAGTCAGTCACAGAACAATGAAAAGAATCCCTAAAGTGTTAAGAAATTCCTTTAAACAAAGCAAGTAAACCAAGTGATTGAAACTTAAGGCATGTAGGTACTCAGAAAGGCCTGGCTGTGGAAAGCAGCCCTCACAATGAGATACCATTGCATCATTCTGGTCATGTCAGACACTACTGACAAAAAAAATGAGACCTGGCTTGTTATCTACTATAAGGCTGGAGAGGTCACTGTTAGCATTAGATCAGCAACCTTGATAATATTTCTCATTACTTAAGTGGCTAAATGATAAAGTTACTAATGTCACTTACAATATCAGTTACTAGATATTGTTTAAAGACTCTCCTGGACCAAACACTATACAGACATACAATCCCTGCCTCAGACTGTCAGATTGTCCTATAGGTAAAACAAGGTAGGACAAAGATTACAATAATTATCTCTATTTTTGATTCATAATCTGTACCCCAGTGATCGTGGGATTATAGAATTGTGTGTGTTGGAAAAGACCCTTAAGATCATTGAGTCCAACCATTAACCCAGCACTGCCAAGTCCACCGCTAAACCATGTCCCTGAGTGCCACATGTACGTGTCTTTTAATACCTCCAAGGATGGCGACTTCACCACTTTCCTGGGCAGCCTGTTCCAATGTTTGTCTGCTCTTTCAGGGAAGAAATTTTTCCTAATATCCAAGCTAAAACTCTCCTGGTGCAACTTGAGGCCTCTTCCTCTTGTCCTGACACTTTTTACTTGGGAGAAGAAACTGAACCCTACCTTGCCACAAACTCCTTTTACGTAGGTGTAAAAAGTGTTAAGCTCTGAGCCTCCTTTTCTTCAGGATAAACACCACCAGCCACTCCTTTCAGCAGCTCCATTGCCATTCTCTGGATACACTACAGCACCTCAACAACTTTCTTGTAGTGAGGGGCCCAAAACTGGACACAGCACTTGAGGTGTGGCATCCTCAGTGCCGAGGGCAGGGGGGTAATCACTGCCCTGGTCCTGCTGGCCACACTATTCCTCACACAGTCCAGGGTGCCACTGGTCTTCTCGGCCACCTGGGCACACAGCTGGCTCATGGTCAGCTGCTGTTGACCAGCACCCCCAGGTCCTTTTCCACTAGGCAGCTTTCCAGACACTCTGCCCCAGCCTGTAGCTCCACACGGGATTGTTGTGACTCAAGTGCAGGACCTGGCACTTGGCCTCATTGAACCTCATACAACTGGCCTCAGCAGTCTGTCCAGATCCCACTGCAGAGCTTTCTTACCCTCCCACCTAACACTTCCACCTAACTGGATGTTTTCTGCAAACTTATTGAGGGTGCACTTGGTCCCCTTGTCTGGGTCATTGATAAAGATATTAAACAGAACTGTCCCCAAAAATGAGCTCTAGGGAACACCACTTGTGACTGGCTGCCAGCTGGATTTAACTCTAGTCACTACCACTCTCTGGGCTCAGCCATCCAGACAGTTTGATGATGTAGCTGAACATTTAAAATGGGATGTGAGCCCAAAACTCCTACATAACTTCCTTAAGCACAAGATGCAACTTTTCTTTGTTGAGTAGATAGTGATTTGAAGCACATCATAAAGTTTCAATCTAATTACTTAGATGGCTATAGCACCTTTCTCACTTACATAATGGGAAAAGTAGAAGACAGAGGTCACTGTGTGCATGCCCCCACATGCAATCCAGAAATCACATCTGACCTTCCTAAAAACTACCTGAAAATCTCTCAGATGTTGTGCAACTCTCACTGGGCAAATTTCTTGGAGAAGCAAAAGGAAGTAAACTGACCAAGGACCTCCTGCTACCTCACAGTTTGACTCTGTAAAGTCAGCAACCAATAGCATGGGAAACTCCTTCAGATAAAAGCATGTTCAAGTGTGCTGTAAAAAAAGTTTTTTCTTCAAGGGCAGTATTTTCTGATCTAAAAAGGCATTTAAAACCATAAACCAAATTAGGCAAATGTGTCTTACCTATGTTTTTGCACGGGTTTGATGAGCAGCTCTCAACTCCTGAAAAATACAAAATTGTTTCCCGTTTAAAATTCAAGAAGAGAGATGCAAGAGCAAGGGCTGAGCCATGCAATGTTAAGATGCCGAAGCAATTTTTTAATTTGTATCATTAGCCTGTCTGATCCTTTCTGTGCTACACTATAAACATATATGATGTGATAAAACAACGAAATATAAAATGCAAAGTAGAAAGAAAATGCTTAAGGCAAGAATTTATATTGACCATTCATATAGCATTTACAGATTCTGTTTTAAGAATCTGCAAAGTAATAGGTGTACTTCATAAACGGAAACTGAGACAGAAGTAAAATTTTTTCGCAAATACTGAGGAAATCTGGCCCACGTAATATAGCATACTTTTGATTTCTCATGAATCTGAGTCTGCAATGAGCCAGAATTACACTTTGTTTCCAGACCAAAGTGCTCATTTCCATCAATGTTTATTCTGTTTCCCCCACTGCTCAGCTCTGCATCAAAGTATCTTCTGGCACATCCAGAACGAATATGTGGTTGATGTTCCAATATGTACAGCAAGAAAACCTTCAAGCAATGCATACAGTTTTATTCCTTTTTCAATAGCAACTTTTTCCTTCGTTGCTCATAGATGTCCTTCATTACAGGACACAGCCACATTTTTAATGTGTTCTGCATTGGTTCTTCAAGCTGCAGCCTCCATCACCACCCACTATGGCAATACTATAAAATGGTTTGTATGTCAGTACTGGCAACAATAGCCCAGTCTGATAGTGATTCAATTAGAATTTTTCTTTTTGCAGTGTTCTAAAATTAAATGTATAGACAGGTATACAGACAAACAGAAAAACTGTGCTTTTCCTGTTTTCTGGGGGCCTGTGTAATTTCTTCAGAGGCTGCTTAGATTGAAATACACTCTACATCAGCATTTTATGATGCTAAGGAATTATGGGGCAAATACTTAAAGACTTTGATAATATTCTTGTTACTTCTACAGGGTAGTCTAGATCCACACAGAGCAGGTCCCCAGCTGTGCCAGGTAGTGCACTGATTACAAAGTACGAATAATCTTTTTCCCAAGGCACCTGTTGTCTTGGTCATCTGGCCTGTATATGCACAGGAACAGGGGATTATTCTCTTTTGGGTACCTGCATATGATCTCAACTCTTTCTGGAAAGAGGCGAACTTTTAGTGTCCATGCTTTTTCCTTCTTTGAATCCTTGCCCCGCAATTACTGCCATTGGCAAGGGTATTTCCATGAGTGATACTAGTCTGAAATATTTTTACTGTGACATATAAGCTAGTGGACTTCTGGAAGACACTTTGCAATGCTCAGTTGAAAAGCTATAGAAACTTTAACCCTTTTTGATCGATTTACCATCTTCCTAGCTACCACATTCTTCCTGGTTTACTGTGCACAATAAGCACCCTTATCTAATTCAGCGACAGTTCTAATATCTCTCTAATACTCTGCTCAGGACTGTTACTTAGGTGTATGATAACAGACAAGGTATTTGGCATCTTGGACCACTGGTGTGAAGATAGGCAGCCAAAACACACAACTCACCAACTCACAGTGAAATAGAGCTCTAGAACCTCTGAATGCACAGACAAAGTGCAAGCCCTTAAAATGCTACATAGTGTGAAAGGCTGAAAGCAAAGGTCAAAAAAAGAAACAGTTCTTGATGACTCTCATGTTGCCTGATGAAAAAAACTCTTGCTGCTATGAGAATAGTATTTGAAATAAAGGTCTTTAAAAATGCTCTGTAGTTTGGTAACATATACCTTTAAAATTTGGCCAAAGAGCAGAGAAATTATTTAGGGAGGGGAAATAAAGAACAAATGTGTTGGTACAGCAGAATTAGGGAATATGATGAATGCTTAAGCTACTCTGATACTTCTGAGAAGCACTCGCCTGTAGCTGAGACCTTTACGTTTGTCATTGGTCATCTGAGAGGAGAGACAGATGCTGACTCTATCGGGGCAGCTACAGAGCCAAGTGGTGCCATATTCCCTCCATGTCCCTGAGGAGCACGGCACTACCCTACACTGAGCAGTAAAGCAACAAATTTGAATTTGTTTTCTCTGTTTGTCTCTGAGAATAGTTCAATTAGGCTGTTAGCTAATGAAATTGCCCTTTCATACAGGGTAGTTTAAAATGTTTGTCAGAGATCATGGTTTTAATCCTTGTTTTTAATGGAAAAGGGCAGAGAGAGGTCATTAAGCATTTAGTTCATGTGACCTTGTGTCAAGCTGAAAGATCGTTTTGTATCCTCTCAGACCCAGAAGCCTAAACTGCCTATTTTCAAGAAAGACTCAGTAGTGTATTTCTCTGAATGAGCATTTTGATAAATGTGATTAATATTCCTTTGAAACAAGTGCCCACAGAGAAGAGTGTGCTTAGCATAGGACAAAGGCAGCACATTTTGAAATTAGATTAACAGTGCCTAAGACTAAAACACAAAATTGCCTACATGGATGACCACAATGGGTGAGATCGGACATAAATTTTCAACTCACTGCATCAGCTCCCACTGTGAATGCACTCACTGAATACTAAAAGGTGGCTCCTTCCCCCTCCCTGTGCCTGATTGCTGTTGTCCTGTGCCCAGTTGTGCCAGTTCATTCCTAGGTAATCCTATGGACCTGTAACATTCTGTGCTTAATGGCCAGACACACTTGGATTGTCGTTTGCCAAGCTCCAGTCAGAATGAATGTACCTTTGGTAGGCTTTGAAATAGGAAACTTCTGTTTAAACATCCAATAATATTGAGAGATTCACTGACTAAACCTCCCTAATACCACCTCATAAATATGTGAATAAAAGACTACACCATGGTATTGCTGGAAATGAACAGAAGAATCTCACCGGTTCAATATGTTTAAAATCTAAACATGCTTAGATTTGGCCATAAGGTTCCTCTTCATTATTTTTCATAAAAGAGACAATTCAATTGCATATGAAGGTTTTGAGACAAGAGGAAACAAATCGTTCATTTGTTTCCTGGCAGTGTCACACCGTGGAGTGGCGTGGAGTTGTTCCTGACTCACCTGATGTGAAGCAGAGAGTAAAGACAAATATTATGGTTCAGATGTAAATCCAAGAGATGAACATGTGTATGGAAGTAACATCTTGCTATATTAAACTATGGAAAAGGATGTGCATTTGTGTATATGTTTATTTACAGTTATGCCCATTTCCATCTCAATTTCATCTTTACTGCAGCAGGAAATCCCTTTGCCACAGGTTTGGGAATTTTTATGGTAGTGTGCTTGGATACTGAGGCCAATGGAAGGTGCATTATTTTCATTTTAATGGGATTGCAATTTTGAGCTTTCTAGTTGCTCTTTGGCAGACCTGGTGCTATTTGAAAGCATCATCAATCTGTTACACATTTTGGTCCTAACAGAGGTTTAAAAACCACTTTCAATTACTTTTCAAGGCTGAGGTTTAGAGTAGGAGCTTGGTTTTCTTGCTGTTTGTATTATTTGCCCTGGCTCTCAGAAAGCCAACTAGCTGATAAAAAGAAGCATAATTTCACTTGACTGTTTTTGCCTCTGAAGATGAACAAGGAGATTGCAGACCCTGCCTCTAAAACAAACCCATTTGTTTTGTTAATAATAAATGCATAATGAAACCACACTTTTTTAAGTTGCTTTGACCTTTCAAGGCACTCTGAAAGATGGCACTGTCAATTCAGTGTCATTAGTCATATGCCTAAAACTAACATGCTCCTATCATTCAAGAATCAAGGATAAAGAGAGGAAAGAGTGCTTCTGGGCAAAGCAAGAAATGACCAGAATTATCCTAGGAAGCCATCTATAATCTGAATTATTTTTATGATATAATTTACGTTAAGAAACACCAAAACTCTTATAAAATATACCACTAAACAACAGCCATTGTTGATAACATTTCAGAAGCCCTTCCAAGAAATGACCATGACTTCCTCCTGTATTGACAACAGGGGATCTGTGGGTGAAGAGTGATAATTCTTTGCAAATGTCGACGTGCAAAAGCTCGTGTGCAGTGTTTCATAGCAAGGGCCTCAAGTGCTATGGAATCCTACATACAGCTCTGTACTCTCAAATCCCATAGCTTATGTTTCTCTACAGTCACGCTCTTACAAACTATTTCTTTATCACAGTTGGGTTATCAAATTATAATACTCACATGTGCAGATATGTATCCCCCATTTACATTGAAAAAAACCCTATCCATAGATAGTTTAGGGCTTGCTAAGTAGGGCTTGCAGATCGCCAAGTTAAAAACAAACAAAAAGAAACAAACCAAACAAACAAAAAACCAAACCAAAACACACCAAAATCTCAGAAGTTACTCTGCTTTTACTCCCAAAAATTTGCCGCAATGCTGGGCAGCACTCTCTGGAGACCTAGCTTGTTCTCTAAGTAAGAGTATCATGCTGATATGTCTTATGTCAAGTTGAACTTTTCTTTTTAACAGGAATAGTTAGTTATAACTAGTATATAACTAGTACTTTTTATGCTGAGTACAGTGTAAGATAAAAAAATTTGAGAGATACCATTTCTAATTACAGGCAGTCTCTTTATCCTGTCATCTTCTCTCCCCAGTCCCCTTCCCAAATCCTATTCTCCATATTTGAAGGAAGGGAGAAGAAAGGGAAAAATGTGGGTATCAGATAGAATAATTACTTGCACTCTGAAAGTTACAGCTTGTTTCTGCCCACAAGGAATGGCCTTTTAGGTAGCTTTAGCCATGTGTAAAAGCATGCTGCTCAAGTAAACCTGCTACATGGGCTAGGTGAGAAATATGTAACCTAATTGGAAGGACTTTTTGTTAGTAGATTTAAGAATAACTTTTATAGGAGAAAAAGGGCAGCTCATGTCCGTTTAGTGATACTAATTACAATCGTCCTTTCCTGTGATTTCACCCATCTTTCCATTCTATCTGAAAGCTCAGTATACTATCCACGTATTAGCCTTAGTACCTGTATTGCCAGAAGAGCTGAAAACTGGCTTTTATTTATATGAAAGCTTAAGTTTTGCATGAAACCTCAGAAGTACCTAAATTCTAGAGGGGGGCTTGAAACCTATCCTTTATCACTAGAACTTCAGAAGCAAGCATATTAATAGCCCTTGACATGACTTTCAAAGGAGCATATTTAGATCATGCTTAATAACTGCACACACTAAATCTCAGGTCTTACTTATATTGCATTATACCAAATCCTTGGACAGAGTATGTATAAAAAAAGACACTTCTTAATCAGATATCATCTGTATTTCCATTCTGACCCATAAATAAGTGGGTTTCAGAGATAAATGTGAGCTGTGGTATTTTACTTTGCGTAGCTGGGATAAAACACTGAAGCCTGTTAAACGCTACATCCATGTTTATGGCTGGACCAGGATCGGTGCTGTCACTGTGCAGCTTCTCAAACACAGCACAGGAATGCTATGCTTCCTTTTCAGTCTGTCTGTGTTTCAAGCCTGCATCAAACCAATCTCATCCACTCTTCCATGCCACATACATTTTTCATTGCATAGAAGTTCCCCGTCCAAACAACAGCAGGTTTAACATTAATAACCTGGCTTCTCTTTATTAAGCCATTCACCATCATGCTGCTATAAGATCTTATGCCCAGCAAGGGAAGCTGGCTGAAGCACTACAGTCCAAACAGCTAAAGGGTAATGCTGAGCTAAAGAACATCAACAGTTAATACTTGTACTTTTTAGTTTCAGAGCAAATGCCCTGTGATGGCAGGAATTCTCTTCCCACCAACTCTAGTGATAATAAAGTTGAGAGCAATCTTTTTGCAGCTGTTTCCCTTGATTACCTTTATCCTCCCAATGCTTGCTATCATGGCTCATTTACTGTCTCCCATAATTGGCTTCTTTCTATTCTATAGAGATACCTATTGCAAGGAGAATAATCCAAAATGATACTCACTGCACAGGGCTTCAAAATGAAAGCAGAGGACACAGAAAGTTACAGCAACTGACTTCATGCCTGCCTGACACAGAGGCACCATCCTTCTGTCTGCCGTGAAGATGGAGAAGAACACATGGGTAGAAAAGGAAGTGGTTTGTGGGCACTGGGGGAAATTGTAAGATAATCAGAAGGACTTCGTATTTAACCCCTGACTACATTATAGCTATGTCAGCATTAGCTGTTGCACACACCTGTGGAGTTTAATGCTTTTTTTTCCTACCTCATGGCTTGCTGTCACAGACAGGAAGAAGAAAGATTTTCTGACGTGAGTTTTGATGTTCACTTCTGCAAAGACCTATTTCTGGTTAAGTCTGTCACAACAGAGGCTACAGTACACACCTACAGATGGCCATGGTCAGCAGCCTCCTTCATTAGCTTACAATACAACTGCCCTTACGTAACTAATGGTCTTGCTCTGTGTGGAAACCATTCACTAGTAGGGTAGGAGTCTCTTGTGTGTCCTGGTCCTGAAATTCATTGGCAGAACATGGCCAAATCGCAGAAAGATCCCTTCTGCCCTGTGACGTCCTAAAGGTTCACTCCAATGTGACTTCCAGCCTGGAGGTCAGGCTTGCTTTGCCTGAAGTTTCATGAGAAACTTCATGCAGCTCTGTGAGAGGAGGAAATTAGACCCAGTGCCCTGGGGCCTTAGGTCAAAAGTTTCTGTCCTTCCCTCTCCCTTGCTTTTTGCAGCACACTCTATTCTAGCCTGTTATCCATCTGTATTCCAGGAATGTTTTAGGACTCTTTGCGACAACATGTTCCACAGTCATTTAGTCCTGGCTATTTATTCTATGTCTATAATACTAAATTTAGTGCAGATAACATGCAAGAAAAGCAGCTTATAAATCACGTTTAATATATTTGATGCAGTTAGCACTTTTGATTGCACAAAATGAAAACACAAGGGATTAATAATGGTGCCTTACAGACATTCCCAGGGTTGAGTTCTTGTAATGGTCATGCAGTGGTACCAAATAACTGGTGAATAACAGGATTGTGTTACAGATTCACTCCTATTTTATACTGTGTGAATAAATATTCACATGTTGGTTTACTCCTCCTCAAAAAGTGATTTAATTTCTTTCACTACTACTGCTGTAGTAGTGTTTACATGGACACTGGCAACAAGTTTTACTTTCTTCAAGTCTTTTCAAAGTCCTGCAAATCTTTGCCTTTTTTAAATTAAAACCAGAGCTGAGCCTGGTAACTCTAACTAGAGAAAGTTTCTGTGGTATGCTTTTAATTCTGAAGCTGAAAAGTAATATATATAGGTCCAAACAATGATAAAGCTGCAGAAGATACATCTGACTCTGGAACTTTGCCTATGAAAGTGTGACCCACATTGGGATCTACTGAGGTTCCAGGTAGGATCACCTTTTCCATTCCCCACAAAACTCATGGGGAATGCTGAAAGATCAGAGCAGCCCCCTCCTGGGACAAGACCTTTATTTCCCTCAAGTAAGCATAGGAGACACTGCCAGAAAGACTTGTAGTAAAAAAGAGCTGCTGCTGCTGCTGCTACAAAATTGAAGGTGGAAGAGAATCATGTGTCAAGTACCCCTATCCACATCTTTGGGAGAGCATGCTGACAACACACCAAGAACTGAGTCTCTACAAATCCTACCACAGGCTGGGAAGGCCAATAAATGTGTAGGGGAACGTATTCCTTTGAGAAAAGCTTTAGCTATTTTTTTACAAAAACAAGCGTCAAAACAAATCAGTATTGTTGTTAGGGTTCAAAATTTTGATGTCCTTCTTAAAAATTTAAACATTTTGTTAGGAAACTAATTTTGATAGAGAAGATTTTTTTTTTTTAAACCAATATATTTATTTTGGAGCAACTTACTCCTTCCCTCTCTCTCTGTGACGGTTTCAGTTATACCAATGCAGAGATGATTAATACACCTCTATTTCACTTCTGGGGTAAGAATAGCTACTAGCGTAGCTTGGTTGGCACAGATCTCACTAGAACAATCAAAGCCAGTAAACAGTTCGTATATGTTGTGTACTCTCTCTTTCCTATAATTATAGCCTGAAGTCTGGAATTACACCTTCTCTTTTTCTGCTTCCTGGCACTTGGGATTGCTAGAACACACTGATCCCTTTGTTTCAAAAGGGTCGAGCCTGGAGTACACTTTGGGGTACGTTTGGCAGCACTCTGAAGTTTGATCTAAACAGTGATTTCAAGTGTATTTGATGATGAGCCAGCAGAGCCTGGGGCTCTCACAGTGTATATTCACAAGCGAAGAGACACAAAGTCTAGCTCAGGGCCCAGTGCAAGGGATGCTCACCTTCTAGTCCCTACCAACAGAGACTCCTCCACCGCCTTTCAGTTCTCTTGTCTTTGCCTCCCTCCTCTGTCAGCACTTACCTACTTCACAAAGACATCGTTACTGCAATTTGGAAATGTTTCCTGTAAATACTACGGTTGGTTACAGTTAACCACCTGGGACAAGCAGTCTGTTTCCACAACACGTTTCCTACAACTGCAACTGTTTTTGCTCACAAACACGTGTTTCCTTTTTCCATCCTCATTCATTTCTCTTCTCTGTGTCTTGATTTTTACTCTCTCATCCACACACACCTCTCAGAGCTGGCTTCTTTCCTCCTCTGACCTGATTGTCCCCCAGTCCCTGACTACCCTTCTCCTCAAGCAGGGGCTGCCCTTCACCACATGCAGTAAATCCTGTCTGCAATGTAGCTTTTCCTTCTTGCCAAGCCCTATTCTTTCCTCATGTCCTGCCCACAACACTACCCTATAGTGATAATCTCCTTTTTTTCCTATCATCTCACTGCTGACTATTTACAACCTGGAAAAGCCTTATGTGAATTTTTATGCCTTTAAAAATGCATTCAGTGATACACCAAGTTCCAAAGAGAAATGGGCTTGCTCACCCCTTAGTCCGTTCTCCAGTGTTCTCTACCACAAATCTTCAGTGCTTCTCCCTTCTAGCTCCAAGTAACTTGGAAAACAACACTTCTGCAGTTTCCCTAAGGACACAGAAAAGATTTTCCCTGTGTTTATGATGTATATTTTTCTTTGCTCTGTTTAATCACATAATTTTTACTTATACTTACTGTTACCACTCTAAACAATGTCCATGTTAGCAAAATGATACTGCAAGGTCTGCTGTGAAACCAAGGTGCACTGAAGTGTCTTATTCCATCTCACCAACAGTTTTCCACTTCTGCTTACGGATGGTGAGCAGCTGCCCACAGCAATATAAAATATTCTCTCAATAGAATGTTTTGTGATTCTTTCTTCAGAGGCTTCTACAGTCCATCCACACAAATTATATTCCGTTGTCTCCTGCTGCTTCTCATTCTTTGCTTCAATATCTGGCCTATATTCTCATGACTCTGGGTCATTCCCTCAGGGCTGGAGCAGAAAGCCTCTACACTCATGTGTTTTCATTTCCTGTCCTCCTAGATGAGAAGGGGAACAATGACTGTGCTATTTTTAAGGTCCTGTGATGGTTTTAAATCCCACTTCCCATTTGCATCACTCCCCATTAGGTGTGTAAACAAGCTGAAGTCATTCAGTATGTAGAGATTTCAGCCTGAAATGCAGCTCATGTGCTCCCTCATTTGTTCTGATGCCTCCTTTGCTGATATATTGGTCTAATCTCTCCTGTAGGCCCGTGAGGTATGCTGTAATATTCTCTCCATCAATGTGACAGTGGAGGCTACTGGCGCTCAGCTCAGCAGCAGGGCACCTTCCTGCAGAGTAGATCTAATGAGATGGTTCCCTTTGGGGTTGCAGTGTGTGTGGCTTTGCTTCTTGGTACAAGCTCAGGTACCCTATGAATAATTTTTTTTTTTGATGATGCTTGAGAATATTTCATTGTCACTGACTTCCCTAAAAGAAGAAAAAAATGAAGTATGTTAAGGAGTTTAGCCCAGCTCTAAGGCTTGCAAGGGTACTGACCTATAAATTGAGTCAACAGGCGCTAAGTGGCAATTCAGCCAAATCTAAACAAGTTGCCCAGAGAGGCAGTGGAAGCCCCATCCCTAGAACAACTGATGAAGTTGAAGATGTCCCTGAGCATTGCAGGGGGGTTGGACTAGACGGTGTTTAAGGGTCCCTTCCAACCCAAACTGTTCTATGATTCTAAATGCCACTTCAGATCCTGGGACTAATGTCTTGGACTGGCTGACTCAAGGCCACAGAGGGCCACCTAGGAAAAAACTGTCTCCATCCGATGTGAGGAGCTGCTACGCCTCTGCGTATCCAGCCCCAGTGCGTCCTTCAACATAGTTACCTAACAGAGGTACTGAACCACTTCTCCAGGATATCTCCAGGATAAAAAAGGGCCCAATGTGCAGGAGGCCCTGAGTGTGCAGGAGGTATTTAGGAGAATGCAAGGGTTGTAGGTGGCCTGGGTTCATGGGCAGTGCTCCAGGAGGAGCGTGCTTTCTGAAGCCATTGCAATTCCCTGTGGCCAACAGGCGGCTGTGTGGGACTTTGTTACAGGGCCGCTTGTATCTGGGCTTGGAAGGGAGGTCTTCCAGAATGGCTACTAAATATGTAAAACCCAAATGAAGTGCAAACCTAGGGACCCATACAGGTATTGTCTGGCACATGGCAGCAGTGCATGTGAGATACATGCTGATGAGCTGGGTGACCATGGAAGTTATTTGGCTTCTGAATGTAAATTTGCCTGTCTTTTAAGTGTGACAGTGATGAATTATACACATTTGTAAAATTTTCACACCCCAACTCTTTCAAAGCTTGTAGTAGGGTGGGGACTCCTGTTATGTGGTTATCTGGTCAGCTGCCTTGAAGGAGTTAGGATAGAAAAAGCCACATTCTGCGGTGCTACTTGGGGTTTGTGGTGTGATTTTTATCTCAGCATTGTTGTGATTACTTTTTAAAGGTAAACTCTTACTACCACTGTGTTGACAAAGAGGATCTTTCTCCAACAGAAACAGTCCCCAAAGTTATGATGCATTCTTGTAGATAAATCAAAAGTTATGCTGAAAATTGCAAGGACAGGTGAAGCAGCACAACCCTGGTTTGGACTTCCAGAAACACTGAAGTGGCTGAGGACACACACATGCTA